GTTATCTCAGGATGCTGACATTGAAAGAACATTTTTAGCCGCTTAGGACTACGTTCTGGAAAATATATTACTTGTTAGTATGCATTATTATAATTGATTTTCAATGTCCTTACAAATTAAAATATATTTCATAAAAACATGTATAAAAGTATTCGCTCATCTTTCCGTTTGGCAGAAAGTTACGTCTTCTTCAAGTATTATGCTTGAAGGTAGGGCATAATGCGATTTTCAAAACTTTTCCGTTTCCCGAATCATTTTAAACCCAACATGCCATTGTACTTGAATTCAGGGTTTTCAGACTAAAAGCTATGCATTTTGCATGTAAACAAAACCATACATTTCTTATGCACTACTTGGAGGAGACCATATAGGGTTCATTAAATTTGGCAGTGGATTTAAGCCATAGTATACACTTAACAAACAACAATAGTAAATTCAGACATATGGTGTTTTTTGGACGGCCATTACACATCTCATAATTAGAAGTGTTTATGTAACCGCACCTGGTGGACACAAAACTGTTGACCTAATTAATTAATTTGAGTTGGTGAGGTAACGTTGGCATGTTGTCGCTGTGGGTTGCGGTGTGTCTTTGTTGGCGGCTTGGTTTCTTTCCTGCCTTGTCTAACCTTTTGGTCAAATGTCGGTCGTCCTACCTGACTTTCGGCCTTCAACCTTTCGCGTTGGATTTTTAAGGGTTCGGGTTTAGGACTGTGGCTAAGGGTTAGGTTTTGAGGCTAGAGTTAGGGGCTTGATTTAGGGGTTATGGTTAGGTATAAGGGCAACTATTTTTCAACCACTCAAAGTGCAACCGCGCATTCTCAATGGCTTTTCTTGTGCATACAATTACTTGGCCTCGTTGACTGTGAGTTTCCCGGCCCCACCTGTAAAGGTCCCTGTTACCTCCGGTCCGTACTGCAGGTGGCTGGGGCTTACTTGCCTCGGGAGTGGCTACATAACCGCAAATGACCTACTCTTAGTCCAAGGAAGCTGTCTTAGTAATTGATTAGCACACTTTTCAAAAAATATTCTCAGAAATAGCCATTCTGGTCTCCATTGCCTTTGTCGGTGCCATGTCATTTACTTCTACTTTTCACTGTGCAACTGTCTCGAGGGTTCTAGCATGAACCCCAGTGCAGATCGGAACATGAACATGCCATAGCCTGATCGGTGAGCGCCCATCTCTTATGATGTATATATATATATATATATATATATATATATATATACAGTACCTGTGCTAACTCATGAAATGCCGAGATCAAAATTATAGTGGAAAATGTAGCGTAATTTTGGTGTCGTTATTTGTGTTAATTTAGTTAAAATAAGGACGAAAAGACCGTTTTCTGAAGGACAGTTTGATACGGATCTGTATATTAAATAGAAAACGGGCCGGATTAAGGCGAAATCGGAGGATTCCTGATATTCAAGCAGTTTCCTACGCTATCAAAGATTTTAGATCGTAATTCTTTGTGTTACCTTATTAACCTGTTTAAGTAGATTAATAAAAGGACGAAATTTTCCAATAAACTTTCGAACAAAAAGAAAAAATTAAATTTTAATATCAACAAAATCAGGGAAATGCAGATAAATTATTTCGAATTGTGTTCAGGAAATAACGTGCGATTCTTTATCTAAAAATTCTATTTTACAAATTTGTAAAGTTTTATGTTTCAAAATACCGAAATAAAAGAGTTTATCAGTGTGATTGTTTTACCAGACTGAAAATGCGTGTGGTAAATGAATATATATTGAGTTCGCGCGACATGCCGTCACTTTGCTCTGCCACGCCAAACGATAACTATGTCTAAACAATGCTTATCCGAAGTTGACTTATAGCGCATTCGAAAATTAGCGGCGGAGGGAATCCCGCGCGAGTCGTTAGCTAGTATTTTCAATGTTAGCAAGGTCAATCTGGGGCGCATTATTAATGATAAAACTGTTCCTAGAAATATGATAGGGGGACCAAAACGGTCCACAAGTAAGCAAGACGACGATTTTATTCGTCGTACATTAAAAAAGTTTCATTACATGCCCATTGAGACCATTCAGCGGAACATCTGCCGATGTTTTCTATGAACATCATTAGAAAAAGGATGAAGGAATTTGAACTGCAGCGGCGGAGGGCCATGACTAAGCCATATTTAAGTAGAAAACTAATTAGAGAACGGCTTTTATTTGCTAAGAATTATATTGATTACAGATCTTCATTTTGGAAGAGCATTTTCTTCTGCGATGAGGTTCTATTTTTAGACAAGCCTACGAAATCGCTCCAAACCGTCATATGTGGAAAGAACTTCCCAAGAGAACACACTAAACCGACGGCAACATTCAAGAACTGTCGGCGGATGATGGTTTGGATGGCGATTAAATTCGGTGAGCGGCCTGTCTGGCGGTCAACATCCGACACCATCAATAGCAAGGTGTTCATTGCAATTGTCAAGGATGCTTTCGGCTACAACGGCATAAGTCGGCGCCGAATGGATACTGTAATTTTGCAGGACAACGCACCTGTCCACCGCTCTAAAGAGGTACGAATTTGATGCCGCTTGCAAATATAATCTAACATTTTAGACAACAACCACGCTCTCCGCAATTGGCCAGCAATCCATTTTCATCCCGGCCAACAGTCCCGATTTGAATCCTATCGAAAATCTTTTTGGAATAGTCAAAAGAAATTGGCACAAAGCTAAGAAGACTCTTTCAATGCAGGAAAAATTGGATTTCATACTCAATAATTACATTTTACAATCAACCATAGATAACCTTGTGATGTCTATGTCGGACAGACATTCTGCTGTTATTAATTCGAATGGACAATCTACAAAGTACTAATTTTTTGCATCAGTTTCCCTTAATTATTTTTGAAATTTTATGCGCCCTCCTCCTTTATACGTCCTCATACGTAGCCTTTATTAACTTGGTTGTAATATAGGCGTTCCTCGAAAATGTGACATTTGTCGAAAATTATTTATTTTTATCTCAGTAAATAAAATTTTCTTAACCAAACTTTGCTTTATTTCTTTGACACATCGTTTATTTTCCGCTATCAGACTTTGGGAGCCGTAGTGTTTACCGATTTTGCGTTAAAGGCGTTAACCTGTGTTAATTCGTGACATTTCATGAGTAAGCACAGGTACTGTACATACGAGATGGAGCGGACAAAGACAAGGGAGACCGGAATGGCCATTTCTAGCTTATTAGCCGTCATCAGCCAGTCATACCCAACCCCAAGTGTGGATCACTCGCCCACTGTGGGCGATCTCGGGAACCATAGTTATATATATATATATATATTTATGGGTACAGAAGAGGTGTTATGCATTCCGAGTCGATATAATGAAAACAGGAAGAGGTTCTTCGGAAAAATCGAGTTGTATTCGTGAATTTTCGAGCTGGTGTCACCAACCCGTCGTCAGACGAAATGAATACAGGGGAGAAAGTTTGTTTGTCACACTGGACTAGTTAGCGCGACAGGACAGACAGACTATCGGCCTATGAGAGGGATGATCAAAAAGTCATGGTACGTCTCTGAGCGAGGGGGGAGGTGGAACAATTATGGATGCCTGTGTTGGAGGGGAGGGTGTTTTGGTGGATCAATTGGGCTTCGGGTGGCTAGATTGGCGGCCGTTGCTGTGGCATTAGGGCGGGGGGCAGTAAGTCGTGAGCATAGGCTTGGTACTCCGATGCTGGTAGTATCAACCGCCATGTTGACCAGCGCAGCTTAGGAAGCAAAGTTGGCGTACTCGATCACGACGAAATTATAAACATCCTACATGACGACGTCTTATTAACATGGAGAATTATATGACTCTTCATACATGGTAAGTACACAGAGTGCAGTTGCAGTGAAAGCGCGCATGCAGGCCGGACTTTACAAAAACATTGTTAAAACTCATACCTATCCTTTCTCAAAATATAAAATTTTAGAAGACGTGATTTTCTATCAAGCATGTACAAGATAAAATGGGTTTGCAGATGTTTTCTCTAAATCACATTACAAGCCGCCGTCCCGGCATGAATTAAGTATCTGGAGGTTATGTTGCGCGGTAATCAATATTACAATTCCATTCAAGTATCCTATTCAATCAAAAAACATTCGGGTGTGCGGCTTGCATTTCTTAGGGTAGACCAGCTGCTAGATGCAAATGGAAATAACTTACATTGTGTGAAACAACGAGTGAAATTTGGGGAAACGTAGCGTTGCAAAAGACGTTGTATTTGTTTGGTGAACTGGACATGTAGGTTTGGCATTCCGCAGTGCGTCCAAATGCGTCGAAGTTGATGGAGCATTTCCACTTCTGAAACTCAGTTTGGGAGGCAGGTATTTCGATAGTAGTCAGTTTACTTAGCAGATAATCAAATGCGTTGGCGAAATTCGTTTTCAACAGGATTTCACTACAGCGTTGTAGTTTTCGGGATTGTGGTCGTCCGATCTCTGAAAGGTATACAAACGTACAGTATATTTTGTTTAAAAGCAATTTAAATGACCGTATTTGCACACGTACATATCATATAAACAAGCCAACTTAAGTCATCTACGAAGTTACAATAAAATGCTAAGGCCTGCTTTGCTAATATCGTGGCGAGTGTTGTTTAAATGTCTACGGTTCTTACAAGGACGTCTGAGAGGTGGTTGATCTGAATTAAAAAAACGCCACTTAGTCAACTAAAAGACATCACGCAGTGCGTTCAAAAAGCTATCGTTGAAATGTAAATTGATATGTTTAAGTATGAAATGCCCAATTATAACCAATCAATGCGTTCCGCTTACTGCTAGTCAGCCTGTACTACAACAGCCATACCTTGTATTGAGTCAACAAAGTCCACTGTACGATATAGGATGAACCAGACACTAAGCGCCGCCTTCCACATTGCGTAAACTGTGAAATTGTAGCTGCGTCAATCCTCTGAACTTAAATGAAGTTAGGAAAGAGTCTTGGCCTCACCGATGGACGAGATTGGCGTGCAGGGCTGCATTCGCATTTATAAGCCAATGAATGCAATGCGAGAAACAGAATTAAACATTGTACGCAATGTCGCCACTTTTAACTTTAGTGACAAGTAGTAATAATGCGTACTAGGAGCTAAGAATCTTGGAACGCCGACAAAAAATTACTGCCAAATGAATACATTCTTATTGATATTTGACATATAAGTGGAGTTTGTAATACTTTATAGAAACAACATAAAGTCCGCTCGCTTCTTATGAATCCTCTGAAAAACTAAGGTCCTCATAGAGCCTGGGCTTGAAATAGATGCATGTACGGTGATAAATTCGAGAGTGGGACGCAAATATGCCTTGCTTAACCTTGCCAGACACTGCGAACAAGTTCTTCTCCAGTGGGGGGGAGTTCGTTTTGCCACCGGTCCCAGCAGAGTAAGAAAGCAGAGATCGCGACAGGGTGCCGCGCAAGTCAGCTGTCATCACAAGTCAAGTTACGCGTGAATCACCGAGTTTTCATAGGCATTAGAAACTGTCTAAGGACCCAATGTTGCACCTCGATCGCCATGAAGATTTGCGTGTGCTCACCATTCTTCCGATCAGCCCTTTTCTGCGGTTGTAAATGATGGACTGCGGAAGATAAAGACAAGAGGAAACTTGAGGTGTTGGGCAACGCTTGCCTGAAGAACGTCTTTCTCGTAACATAAACAGAATGCAAAAGGCAGTTTGGCGAGCATACGTTTGCTTTCGATAAATTCTCTTCACTGAATGCAACACAAATATGACCATTCCCACTCGTTGTGACAATTTTGCGAGCTTGTGCGAGGTTTTGCAAGAAAAATGCCTGATGTAGCGTTAGCACATTATTCGCCATTCGCCACAAAAGCTCGGTTGTGACGCATTCGATTCGGCGCCGTACCCTGATTGGAGACTGGTAATGGGTGGTCAACCAAACTCAAGCTTGACACAGTTTACCAAATATAGTCAATGATAACTGGACCTTCGGCACTCGGTCTCCGTCGCCGGAGAAGATATTATGTCCAACTGGCATGATCCGCTATCTCAGAACATCACGTATGGAACGGTACAGTCCTCTACATGAATGAAGCCGGCTAGATCAGACATGATCACAGCCTTTAGAAATATGAATACAAGTACTCATGTTGGTATGTATGACAGGCTATTGGGTAGGAGAAGGCATCTTAATCATGTGCGAATGTACTGGATTGGTTGGTTGTCAAGAATATACGAAGCAAAACCTGTCATAAGGACACGCTGATGTGTGCCGTTGTGTTCGGAAATACTGGCGACAGTGCGCGTTCTAAGAAATTACTCCAAATATGGGAGGTCAAAATTATATTCTGTAGCCCTTTCAAAAGTACATGCATTTCGGTATTCGACTGCTAGGTATCAAATGACGATAGTCGTAAATCTAAAGACTATTAGTTCAGGGCGTACCACTCGCGGATGATCGGTGCAAACATCAATATTCCCCTTTCTGCGCAGTGTTCCCCCTTTTTCGCCTTTTTGGCATTTTATCACGCACTTACGGCCGTCCTATTGACCTCCTAATTAACGGTAAAGGTTACTTACAGACGTCTCTTGCATTGGGTGTTTACCTGCTTGAAGTTGTATTGTATCCTAGGGGTCCTGCCATGAGTAATGTAATACGTTATTTATTTACGCTAATAAATTACGGACTGTCAACATGCTCTGCCCTGTAACTCATTTTTAAAAATATACATAGTTAAAATTTCTCCACGAAACTATCGTCACGATTTTGTGTAGAAGCAGTACATCAAACGCCGATTTACTCTCCAACTCGTGGGTGTCAAACAGATTGTGCCTCAGTTTAAACGGCAAGCCGGATAAAGTGAAACGGTCCATCACTAAATCGCTTGAATGAATAAGACTAAAAATAAAAAGTTACTGCGCTTAACGTCGTAACGTATCGTTGGGCAATGCGGTCGCCCTATCAATAATAAAACGGCCGTAGCGCTACAGATGCGCTCATTACAAAAACCCTGACTTAATACACCCCCATCTACAAATTTACTCTATGTATATCCAAAGACAATTTGGATGGGATTGATTTTAATTTAAGCACCACTTGTAAATATAAAAATATGGGTAACATTTTCTTTATAACCATTTCATTAAACCTTTGAAATTGTTACTCTTCTGATACTCAGAATTCAGGATAAATGGCAAAAGCCACTCCGGTTTAGCCCGAATCGCCTTGTGGTGCACAGCTCGCGGTGAAGTTGTGGGTGTGTCTCTAATCATTTGACGGTTTGTAATTTGTCATCGAAATATGGTGTTGAGAAAAAGGAAAGAGTGCTCAATAGAAACAGAGAATGCAACGCAGTGTGCGTCTTCCAATGAGCAAACATTTTATAAGACACGATAACTGGCGGAAGATTATCGGGAGCTGTGTCAAAGAATGGCACTCATGCAGACCGCCAATCTAGGGTCAGATACTTGCGAAAATGAGGTAAACATGGAAAATATTAACGAAGTCTTCGACATTTTGCAAGACCAGTTTCGACAGGAAGGAACAATGGGAAATTGGAAGGGAGGGTAACGGTAGGGCATCACAATGGAGGAACTTTATTGAGAGAAGCGCCGCGTTTCAAGCTTGTGAGAACAGGTCGCAGTCGAGAGACACATTGCAATGATTCATTATGATTAAGCGTGTGGCCGTTTCCTGACCACGATGCTTCAACACAATGCAGGTCTTCAACGTGTGCCCAACAGCAGATTGACTACGTGGATGGTTACGTGTGCAAGACTTTCATGGTAAAAGTGAACGTCTGCCTCATCCGCCACGTCCCCTCCCACTTACCACTCTGCCCTGGTGTCATGCCACAGTCAAAAGGACCGGCGTCAGGAGAGGGCACTGGCTGACAGGCACAACAAAAAACCCACGGTCTACAACTTACACTAAACAGGGTTTTATATAACAAGAAGAAGGACACTGCCTTACTTGCACGGACTTGTATGTGGAACGGCAGATTGTTCTATTCAGAGATCAATTTATCAAAAAACCGCCTGAATATGCACAGTATATGCACTTTCTTAGTTTCATCTCAGACAAGGCAATTATGCAGAAATATTTGTGTCGGAATAGCTGGTGAGCATTCCAGTGGTAATGATATGTTAAATGTAATCATACGAAAACTTTTATGCACGATTAAACGGACGCACGCTTACGGACGAACAGCTTACGCAATTCTACAGGAGCACAGTACGGATAACAATAAAGCACCCGAAAGAAGGATCTGCGTTGATAGAGCTGTCGGGAACTACGTGTGAGAGTACTAGGCGCAGTTAATAAGACACAGTAGACTAAATTCTAATGAAAACTTATGAGACTTTTTCTATCGAAAATGCTAAGATGTAAAGCAAGTCTTCTTTGGAAATGAAATGTCAGCTCCATATTTAACAGTATGACCTCACCGGTCAAATGCAGCACAACAGAATAAGAACAGGACAGATGGCTTGCGCGCGAAAACCGTGCTTCTCCTGAGAAGTGCAGACAACACATACGCTTCTCAAAAATATTTTACAGGCGGTTTATTTATGCGCAACGTATAGAACTGATGTAACGTATTTTACATCGGTGTCGTGTCCACCATTGGTTCAAGATAGAAATTTCAACATACCTTGCCGACCTTATTCCCCTATTATGTCAGATGCGCAAGCAAATGCACGTACAAACACCAAAATTAGGAACGTTTTTTAGCTGTTTCCACCGGGTATAATTTAATATTGAAACACTGCTCCATGAAATCAGCGGACATAATGGCTCATAAAGTATTTTGCCTTCAACCAACCAGGGTTCCGACACAAGACCTCAAAGGCAGATTTCTCAGGGACTATCAGATTTAGTCCAGTAACCACACGCTTCTGACTACGCTGCACAAATTGACTAGTCGGCAGTGAGTAATATAAAATCAGAGCGAATGTAGCTCAACATCAGTAGTCGAATGGTCAACAAATAAATTGCAGATTAAAAACGACTTGAGAAGCTAAATGTATTTGTTGTTTTTTTAAAGCAGAACAATATTTGAACTTCAGCCTTTCAAAAGGCAATCCTGATTTGCGTTTAATGAGCAATCGACGCACGAAGTAACAATCACAGTTCACATTTCGCAAGAGGCGTCATTGGACGTTGTGAAGGCCTGCACCAGGATCTTTTCTAAATTGACGGAAAGGAGGTCCTTTAACCCACGAAAAACCGCATCGGTCGTGAAAAGTATCTGAGGTTCTCGGATATTATCCGGCACGAATTTTGACAGTCGGAATGCATTTGGCTCACTTGTGTAGAGTTTCCAGTAGGATATGTCCGCAGTTATGGTGGAGGGTATATTTATGACCGTCAAAGACATATGATAATGATTGTCCAACATCTTAAATTACAACAGACGCACATTTCTCTTTAGAAAACACATATATTCCCAATTGTAATCGTTAAATTATAAGGAACGGATATAGTGAAGATTTTAATAAACATACGTCAGTCATCGACTAACCGATACTGGTTATGTACACGTACATAACGAGACATTTCGGGTTTTAAGAAAAATATATTATCTATACGTATACTGGTCGCCCGCCAAAGCTACTAAAATAACATTTAAATATAGAAATGACTGCAAAGTGTTTTGCGGGTGAGTCTATCGTGAAGGAATGCCTTCACTTACCCGAAAACCGATTTCGCTAATCGCCGGCCAATCATGGCGTGTTTTAAAAATGAACTGGTAACTGCCAATCTATGTCCACTAACGAACATGTGCTACTGCTGAAAGTTTTATTTGTTGACGGTCTCAGGTCGATATTCTAATTCAATTGTCGTTAGATTCAGAATGTGCTCTCTATTATAAAAAGAATTGCACAAATTTATACAATATGCAGATCTAGTTCTCTTCGCTCTGCAAGTGGATTGTGCAATTGTATGCCAGCTTTTATGGCGGTCGTAAATACAATCCCGTATCGATAACTGTTTTGCTGCTAAAATGGTGTGCGATCTCACGAAATG